TTATAGGTCGATAGGTAAGATAGGCCGTCTACCTCGCCGGGTTTGATTTTAATATATTATACCGGCTAGGCGTAAGTAACCCTACCGATAGCCTATCGAGGCGACCTAATTACGATAGCGAAACCTAATACATCAATTCTTTGTTTCTAACCCTATAGTATAAGATTGCTATAGCCCGTGTTATTAATAAGTAAGCGTAGGATAAGCGGACTTCCGGACCCCGCGGCGGTAATAAACACTATAGCGGAGTTGTCGTTCTTCTAGTGCGCGTTAGAAAGGACGTAGATCGCTCGAGCTATAATAACTCGATTGAAGACATTGCTATCTATAGTAATAGCCTATATAGCGACAGCACTATAGAAGAGGTTATAGTAGTTCCGGCTGCTAGTGCTATTAGATATATACAATACGTACCTCGTTCGATAGCGAGGGTACTATTAAATAACCTTGCAAATAGGGATAGTTAATCGTTTATAGATAAGCTGTTACGTGCTTAGTAGAGGGACGCCTTTACTATCGAGCGCATTAATAAGCTTGTAAGTAGGCGGGCGACTCGAGCTAGCAAGAGTAATAGTTAGTCGATCGACGATAAAGGTTACTTAAAGTTTAAGGGTAGATATTATGTCCCCGCTAAACAATCGATTAGACAAGAGCTTTTAAAGAGGCACTATAATAGTAAGCTCGCTAGTTACTATAGTATAGAGAGGTCGCACGAGTTACTATCGCGCATATACTACTAGCTAAATAGTAAGCGGTATATAAAGGAGTATATACAGACCTATATAGTATACTAGCGAGTTAAAGCACTAAAGCACTTACTATTTAGCGAGTTGTCTTTACTCCCTATTCTAAAGAAGCCTTTTGCAGAGCTTATAATGGACTTTATTATAGGTCTTCCCCCTACTAAGCGAAGAGGAAGCAAAGACGTCTTTAACGCTATACTAGTTATTATAGACCGATTTACTAAGGGTGCTCGCTACATTCCTACTCGAAAGGATTAGACGGCTATTAATATAGCGGAAGCACTATAGAACAACATCTTCTATAGCTATTAGGGGACCCCTAAGGGGATAGTCTCCGATAGGGGCTCGACATTTATATCGCACTATTAGAGCGAATTATGCCTACAACTGAGACTAAAGCATCGACTGTTAACAGCCTTCTATCTACAGACTAACGGTCAAACAGAGAGGCAGAATACTACGCTATAGCAGTACCTACGTAGCTACATTAATAAGGACCCTAACAGATAGGTTAACCTCTTACAACTAGCTAAATTCGTGTACAATAATAGTGTCTACTTATTAACTAAGGTCTTACTATATATAGCTATAATAGGTTAGAACGCTGCTATACTACAAGACTCCCTATCGCTCGAGGCCGGGCGTAAGGAAAGGGAAGCGCGTTAAGTACCCGAAACACTAGCGGCTATTAAGAGGGTTTAGAAGATGCGAGAAATCTATACTAAGATAGCCGAGAAGTTGACAAAGGCTTAAGAGTACTAAAAGACCTACTACGACAAGCACTATACGCTAATAACCTTTAAACAAGGCGACATAGTTGTACTAAGCACTAGGAACCTCCGCATCCGTAAGTACCTATTACCTAACGGCAAAACAAGGCCTAAGCTCGTACTAAGATATATTAGTCTATTCCGCATTCGAGAAGTTAAGGGCTCCTCCGTATAGGCCTATTAGTTATAGCTTCCTCCTTATTACACTATCTATAACACCTTCTATATATCCCTCCTTAAGCTATATTACCTACGCGAGGGGGATAAAGCCCCTACTAAACACGAAGATATACTAGCGGATAGTAAAGAGCTATAGTCTATAGAACGTATTCTAAAGCACCGGACTAGGCAAGGCAAGAAGGAGTACCTATTAAGATAGCAAGGCTATTCGCCTAAATAGGACTTGTAGGAAGCTAGAGGTTCCTTTAGGGATATAACTAAGTTATTAGATAAGTATTAGACTAGTATAAAGAACAAGAAGAAGGCTAAGGGCCTATAATGTCGCCTAGGAATAATACTCTCCCCGGGGTGCTATTAGCTAACTAATTAGAGACAAGTAGTTGTTAGTAACAAAGGACAATAAGACTACACTAGGCGCGCTACGACGCGTTAGCTAATTGCCTGCTCTTTTAAGGACTCTACCTCTTTACTAATGCGCCCTATAAGGCCCTTCTCCTAGTATTTAGGTCCCCCTCTTAATCCTTTATTCTATTAAGGCCTCGAGGCCTAGGCAATCGGCGCGGCCGGCGCGGCTATATTAGTAACAGTGTTACGGGGTATATTGCTAGTTAAGGAAGGAAGGACATAGCTATATTAGTAACGGTGTTACCGAGTTGTTGTTAGTTAGAGAAGGAAATTAGAAGAAGGTAAAGTTAGCGCTAAGACGACTAGCGCCGCTATTGTTAAACATTACCTGCTATTGCTACTACACTTGTAAAGACAACCTTACCTACACTACGAGCCTAAGGCACCTTTAATTAAAACTTTAATCAAAACTTTAAGGCTAAGTTAAAACTTGAAGCCGCCTAAAAGATTAAGCGACTAATAGACTAACTAAGGGCAAAACTATAGAGCTAAGCTAGCTAGGGTCGATCTTGTAGACAATAGGTTACTCCTCGATCTTTCCGACCCTTTAAGCGAGGCGAACCTCTACTACTGCACTTATAATAGCCTTTACTTATAGAAACTAGACGAGCTGTGTTTTTTGAAAAGATAAGATAAGATTAATACTTGAAGGCTACTAAACCTAGCTAATTAGGGCTAGCGAAACTACGAACAATAAGAATAATAACCCTCGGAAGCGAACAAACCCTCGGAAGCGGACATTGCTAGGTCTTTTAAGAGTAGACGCAAAGAACTCGGTACGACATTACTTAGAGCAGAGGTAGGGCTGCAATACCTCGTACGTCTACCTATTATAGTAGGGAAGACGCGCTCGTATTATAATTAGTCGAAGGCCCTTAATTCTTATAGATATATATCACTTTATAGCTTATTGTATATAGGGATAGCGTAGTTAGAGTTAGATATTATACTGTATTAGAGGTAAGGTTTGATATCGTTATATAATTAGATAGTTAAGTATTCAATTTAGCGCGGGCTAAGTAGCTTGTTAGACTTGCTAAGTTAGCGGCAATAGAGGTCGTAGAATATAGATAGGCTACGAGGGCGCGGCCTTTAGAAGGGAAGCGTATATTAGGGCTAAAGAGGCTATACGTAATTAGCATGTAACTAGGCTAAGTGAAGCTAGGGTCTTAGTGCCTTAGGCAGGGCTTAGCGCTTAGTAATAGGCCAACTTGCCTGCCTTCCTCCCTCTCCTCCTAGCTCTTTATCGAATACTACTCGTACCTACTACTACCCTATCTACCTACTAATATACCCTTCTTACAGCCGAGGTCGATCTTATAGATAATAGGTTACTCCTTAATCTTTCCGACCCTTTAAGCAAAGCGAACCTTAACTATTACACTTATAATAGCCTTTACTTATAGAAACTAGACGAACTGCGTTTTTGAAAAGATAAGATTAATTAACAATTAAAGGCTACTAAACCTAACTAATTAGGGCTAGCGAAACTACGATAGTAAATAATAGCCCTCGTAATAATAAGAATAAATCCTCGGAAGCGGACATTTCTAGGTCTTTTAAGAGTAGACGTAAAGAACTCGGTACGACATTACTTAGAACGGAGGCAGTACTATAATACCTCGTACGCCTACCTATTATAGTAGGGAAGACGCGCTCGTATTGTAATTAGTCGATAGCCCTTAATTCTTATAGATATATATTACTTTATTATATACAAAGATAGCGTAGTTAGAGTTAGATATAGTATTAGAAGGTAAGGTTTAATATAGTTATATAATTAGGTAGTTAAGTATTTAATTTAGCGCGGCTAAGCAGCTTATTAGATTTGCTAAGTTAGTAGTAATAGAGGTCGAGATTAGAATATAGAAAGGCTACGAGGGCGCGGCCTTTATAAGGGAAGTATATGTTAGGGCTAAAGAGGCTATACGTAATTAGTATATAACTAGGCCGAGTAAAGCTAGGGTCTCGATACCTTAGGCAGGGCTTAGCGCTTAGCATTAGGCTAACTCTCCTACCTTCCTCCCTCTCCTCCTAGATCCTTATCGAATACTACTTATACCTACTACTACCCTATCTACCTGCTAATATAACCCCTTCTTATAGAGCGGAAGGAAAGCCCTCTTTAAGCAAAGTATTTAGTCCTTTATAAATAGCCGCTTCTAATATTAGTATTACGAGAAGTATAAAATCGGTAAGAATAGAGGCTAGTAGTATAGCTTAAAGAACAGGTTAGGGTAGGGGCCCTCGTTAAGTAAAGAACCGAGCTTTTTATAAATAATCGCTTCGTATAAATCGAGAAGTATTAAATCGGCGAAAACTTAAAGAGATATTAGTATTATAGCCTAAAAGATATAGCGGATAGAAAGCCCTCTTTAAGTAAAGAACCGAGCTCTTTATAAATAACCGCTTTATATAAACTAAGAAGTATTAAATTAGCGAAAAGAGATATTAGTATTATAGCCTAAAAGATATAGTAGAAGGAAAGCCCCGGAATCCTCGAGAGAGAAACTCGAGAGTATAGTCTTAAGGAGATATAGGAGAGGTCGCTTAGATTCGGTAGAAAGTGCTTCTTTAGGTAAAGTACCGACCTCTTTACGAATAGCTGCTTCTCCTACTACGAGCTATACAAGATTCTCGAGAAATGAACTTAGGAGCATAGTCGTAAGGGGATATAGGAGCGGTCGCTTAGATTTAGTAGAAAGTGCCTCTTAAAAGTAGAGCACCGAGCTCTTTACCCTTAGCCGCTTCTCCTACTACGAGCTATATAAGATTCTCGAGAAATGAACTTAGGAGTATAGTCTTAAGGGGATGTGGGAGCGGTCGCTTAGATTTGGTAGAAAGTGCCTCTTAAAAGTGGAGCACCGAGCTCTTCACCTATAACCGCTTCCTCTACTGCGACCTATATGAAGTCCTCGAGAATAGAAGTTAGCAGCATAGCCCAAGAGACACGACGGAAGGCATATGGCAATTTACTGTCCCAATCCATTACTTTTCCCTATCTGTACCATTCCTTTGTGAGCGGAGTATTCCCTTTCATTACCATCCCAACCCCAAAACCTGCATATGGGTATCTATACTCAAAACCTTTTCAAAACCCAGCAATTCCTCTAACAACAAAGAAAAAACTCCTTCGGAATTTCCCAACCGCGCAACCCCAGAATGGGAAAGGCTTGATATCTTCCCTCCAAATCATTCCGAATCTGAAATGGCGAATTCTTTGTCGATGCCAGCGGCTTCAGATGGCTCTTCTTCAGGGGCTGGGATGGCTCTCTCGCGCATCAGACCGAGTCGACGACGCTGTGCGGGAGGTTCAGGCATGGACTCGGGACGGCGAGTTGATGGCTCTTCTTCAGGGGCGGCTGAGATGTTTCTCTCACGCATCAGGCCAAGTTGACGCCGTGGACGAGGAGCGACGGGGCGAGCGCGACGATCTTGTTCTTCGATCTTCAGCCGTAAGATGTTCTCCGTGTCGCGGAGTTGGCGCTGCGTCTCGTGGAACTCGTCGATCAGATCTTCGGGCATGTCGTCGTCGTAGCGCGAGATCTCCATCCACAAGTCGTTCTTCAGTTGATGGAAGTGATTGCGTTGCTCCGTCAGTCCTTCGATGGTCAGGGGAGCGCGACTGTCGAAGCTGGGTGCGGTGGTCATTGATGTGGTGACGGTACGACGGCGGGATGGTGAGTGCTGTTGAGTTGCTGATGAAGTGGCGACTCGAGCGCTCTGCTGGGCGTGCGAAATGGGTCTTCTCTGCCGTGACGGGGTGCTGGGCTTTTTTGGAGGTGGCACTTGAGAGCGAGGGTAGCCGATGTTGCAGTTCTGACTCACGAGGAAGTAACGAAGGGTGTAATTCTGCTGCAGCAGATTCCAGCGCAACACGTTGTCTCCATCTTCGGTGTGTAGGAATGCGTCTGACAGGGGAGGAAGACCACGCGCTCGACGTGCCTCCTGAACCTCCAGCTCCACCGCTACGCGGCTGGTCGTTCCATTCTCGCTGTTCTCGTCGAACCACAGAGTCGTTTGGTGGAAGCGATTGTACAGATCCTGTTTTCTGAGAGCACGATACTGAGCTCGATCTTGCGCGGTGCCTTTGATGTTGGCAAGCATCTTGTCGGGGTTGTGTCTCTTGAGCAGCTCGATGAGCACATCGTAGCCGATGTGCACCAGCGGCAGTCCGAAGAGATGATCATCAGATGCAGTGCTAGGGTCGAAGGTGTCGCGACGCGCCTTGTAAGCTCCGAGGATCTCTCCTGGCTTGAACTCGAACGTCTTCTCTTCTTTGTTAGACGTCTTCGCCTTGGCCGGCGGACTGCCAGGGGCAGAGGAGGCCATTGACGACTTGGAAAGGGGTCAATCTAATCGTGCGGCTGCGTGCATGTGAGTATCTCTGATGGAGGAATCAAATGGTCTAGGGGAGACGAACCTGCGATGTGGAATCTCGGGCTTCTGTGCAGCTGGGAGGAGTTGAGCCGGTGAGGAGGAGTCTTGGTGTTCGCGAGCTCACGAAGCTTGGAGAGCATCGCGTTGACAGACAACAACTTCACCCGTTTCCCAGGCAATGGGCCATGATCCAAACATCGCCGATTCTTCCGTCCACTTTCGCACAGGTAGGAGGCTCGAGGAAGATAGCATGTATTCAATCACATGAACATCAGGGGCTGAGAGGTATTATATACCAATCTCTTGTCATCATAGGGTCTGGCGCGTGATCAGTTGAAGAAGTGGCAAAGCAGCTCTCGAGTGATGCCGCACGACTTACATCCAGTGACAGATATGCTTGACTCCGTGCTGTCGCCTGGAGCTTGGAGCTTGTGTGATTATTAGTTGATGGTCTTCCTCACCTCGCTCAGATGCTGACCTGGATTGTACAGATAGCAAATCAGCCACAATGCCACGTCAACGACTGCCCTAGCCTTCACGAAACGGCCTTTTAAGCCTACGCAGCATGCTTCACACGTGGAAGACAGCTTCAAAGATGGAGGAACTTGGAACTTTACAACAATGTGATTCTACGATGAAAGCTGGAGCCTATTATTAGTGTCAGATGGAGAACGATCAAGAGCAGGGTTGAAGATTATGCTATGCAACTTACACATACCGCCAGCGCCGAAGAGCCTGAGATGTCGATATTCCATCACAATTGCCTCACTTCACAGCGTGAGACTAGTAGCCATCAATATCCATCAGATCATCATCGCCTCTGACAAGCTTCAATTCAAATCTCGCTTTATTGAGCTTGACTTGTGCTTGAGCTTGCGATGCTTCGTCTAGGGCAGTTTCGAACTCGACATGAGCTGCCAAGACAGCTACCTCTAGTTCGTCGATTGCTTCCCTACGAGCTTGTTCTCGCTGAGTGATCTCTTGAGGGCTTAGTTTCGCTGCCCAATCTGCCGGTAAAGAGCGCAAGGGTGGGACGTATTCGTCCAGCTTTGCAGCCCATTCGCGCAAACTACGAGGTCCTGAGCGTGCGATTCTGGCATCTGCTTGTGCAGCCGCCAGTTTCTGTCTCTCTTGGTACTCCTCTTGGGTTAACTCTGGGACATCATCGTCAGGCTTGACGCTCTTGGAATTGTTCGATTTCCTTGAGCGGCGTGAGCTTGTGCTTGAGCTAGAGCGTAAGCTTGGGAGATCTCTAGGAGTAAGTGAGCTTTGGATGACCTTGCGTCTGGGCTTGGACTTGGGTTTGTTGAACTTACCGTCCTTTTTGTGCTGATCAATGATTGGTATCGACTTCTGGTCAGTGTAGACGCCGTGCTGCTCGAGCCATGACTTCAAGTCCGGATGGCGTCTTGGTAGGTGTAGACCACGGGTCTCTGCGTCATACTTAGTATTGAGCATGAACGAGTTTGGGAGTGGCGATAGACCTTTGAGCATTCGAGCTTCCTGAACGTCCAGTTCCAACCGAACGTGCGAGGAATTGTGCTCACGTGGCCCGTGCCAGATGGCGTCCTTGAAGCGCCCTATCAACGCCGCGCGTGTGAACATGTCTTGGTCGTTAGCCGTCTTATAGAGGATATCTGACACCTCAAGGTGCTTGAAGAGCTTGATCAGATACTGATAGCCAATGTTGTCCTTAGGTAGAGAGCATATCTCGTCGATGCTCATGTCTTCGGGGGACTTGTGCTGACGGCGACAAGCAGCTTGGACCTCGCCACTGCGAGTGTTGTAGGTTGTCTCTGACTTCATAATGATGATGGCGTTGAAGCGTTGTGGTGTCTTTCGGAAGATCGCAAATACTTAGGTTGATGTGATTGCTCGAGTGAAATGCCGTTGTATTCGAACTAGAAGATCTCGACCTGCGAGATCGTGTTGAATTCCTTTGACTGCTCGAGTGATAGGTTGTGATTTCGATAGAATGCATGTTCCCTCCTGCATTTTATCATCTGCTCACACGAAGAGGTCTTTGTGCTTGCACGGGCTTTGTCAGTTATTGAACTTTGACAGAAGGGCCCGAAGTTCTTTGTGCTGGTACAATGCTATTCGTACAATGCTATTGTACCGTCCTTCGGGATGCTGTTGCTCCCAGGGACACTCAATGCTATTATGGAGGACTCACAAAGAGGTTCTTTGTTCTCTGACAAGCATTGTGAGTTCAGAAGGGTAACTGAACGTCCATGTGGAGTGAGTTACCGGGCCCAGATCCTGACGCAGCGCAGCCAAAGACAAACCATGTCGTGAGAGGCTCATGCCGTGCTCCCAAACCACGTCGTCCGCCGCGCAAGCTCATATCTCACGGTACTAAAACATTGCTTATCCAACACAAGCTTTTGTCCGACCCTCAACGTCAATTCGTGCTGAAGAGTTTGCAGCGCCACTAACCCTTCGATGAAGAATGTATACAGTAGTCGCCCTATCACGCTCTAAAGCATCCCCACAGCCCGAGGAAATTACCGAATTCGGAAGCTGCGACAAGTTGAATCTGATTCGGTCCCTCTTAGCGTGTCTTTGAAGATCACAAATTCTCCTAAACTTACCCGCGATCCCCTGAGTTGTTCCTGGACGGCTTATCATTAGTCTTTCCATCCCGAGTCATAGTGTGAAGACGGGAATGCTACTACTGAGTTTGTAGGCGTCGGTAGTGTGGCAATATTTGCTCAATAGAGCGAATTATTTTTGTGACGCGGGTCGTGAACCCCTTTCACTCGTTTCACTGAAACGCGCTCAGTAAATTCTGTTGTGCTTCTTGCACAAAATACGACAGTCTCGCCATTGGAAATCGGTAATCTTAGTCTTCCCTTTCTTCACATTCCTTACGGTCCTGACCATGATGGCCTTGAGGTCCCTGACCTTCGGTGTCGCCGCATTGCTGCTCGCACACAATCTTTGCACGGCGGCCACAGTGTCTTCAATAGGCAACTCGAAACCCCTTGATCCACGGAGCCCAGCAAGCACTTTAACGGCGTCACAGTCATCCTGCCCACTAGTCTGGAGCGTAGTGGCAGAGGATCTCAAACGGTCTTTCTCAGGCTGTAATGACCTCGCCCGATCCGCCATTCGATTCGCCTTTCACGATGCAGCTGGTTATTCGGTCAAAAACCCCGTCATCGCTCCAGCTTCTGGAGGTGCAGACGGCTCTCTCCTCCTGAATGACGGAGAGATATCCAGAGGCGATAACGCTCCCATGAAGCAGAATTATCGCGATCCGTTCCTGCTGCCGAAATACCTTACATACAAGAGCCAGGGCGTGAGCGCAGCAGATCTCGTCCAATTTGCAGGGAGTGTGGGAATCAAAAGCTGCCGAGGAGGTCCAACAGTAAAGACCGTGGTAGGGAGGAAGGAATCCAGCGCAGCTTCTCCAGGAGGACTTCTGCCGCAAGCATTTGGGAAGGGATCCGATTACAATACTTTGATCAAGCTCTGGAAAGATAAAACCTTCAGTCCGAGGGAACTTGCGGCTTTGATGGGTGCTCACACAGTGAGCGTTTCGCTCACGGAGCAGGCGAACGGCATTCCATTCGGAGGTGAGTGAACAAGTGTCTGCCGTTCCGGAAGTATCGGACAATTAACTTCATATGCAGGTGCGCAAGACTCCGACCCGACTGTTTGGGATAACCATTACTACAGCCAGACCCAATCTCGTACTCGTGGCGTGTACAGCTTCGCTTCGGACGTCAACCTTTCCAATGCTACCACGGAGTGTGGCAAAGCGTTCACGGCGTTTGCGAACGATCAAGGTAGGTGATGATCGAGGGAACAGTAGGTCATATTTGCTGATATTGGTGCAGCAACCTGGACGTCCGAGTTCGCTGCAGCCATGTACAAGCTTAGCGTGCTTGGTATCCCTCAAAGTGTGGTGGACAACTTTGTGGACTGCACCTCACTCATCTCTTGAGTGGCCATTGCACTGTACAGGTCGCAGACTTATTCTCTCCAGTTTTCTGCGCTCCCACATTCGAAGATAAATGGGGAGGGATGGTAGGCCTCATCCCTTCGGACTACTGTAGAATGTTACGATAGTGACTTGGAGATAGACGAGGGTGTAAGAACGAGGTATTCGAAAGCGGGTTATCCGATATGCGTGCTGGCACTGGCTTCCATTCTTGTGTCTATTGAGGAGGGTTACTGACAAGAGCCTTGCCCAATGATGTTCTTTGGCACATTGATGGTACATATATGCAGCGTCGAGAGTGAATGTATCCCTGTTCCTATTTCCACGTAATCATCACTGACGTATGCGGCTCTGCGACCCATGCCAGCGAAGAAACAACGCGAACTCTCCCGCTGCAAGTCAACATTCAACCTTCCCTTGGATCATCGACGACGACGACAGCGACAGGCTTCACAGTGGCCATTAAACAGACCATAATGATCCAAAGTGGACTCCGGTGACATTAAACGCTCGCCACAGAATGCGAGCCACCATCTCCTTAGGCCGGACATGCCTCAGAGCCATACACAATACGACGCCTGCCCGACCTCGGGTCATTCGACATATCAACTACAGCATACGAAGTGGGCGTAGTACAAAGTCATTCTCCAATCTTTTCCATAATGCGCGGAGAACCTTCAGACCTCCTCCCGCGCCGGTCAAGGGAGGAACACTCCTTCTCGCAGCTCTCAGCCCCGCCGCATTCGTTTCGATCGCAGAGGACGATGAGGACAACAATGACGGAAAGACGCACGAGGAACATATGCTCGAAATCTCTCGGCGGGAAATTGAGGAGTACGTGCCGGAAACATTACGCAATAGCAAGAAAGTCCGTGTTGGATTGTGGAAATTCCTGGATACTTGGATCTATGAACCTATCGCAACGACATTTCGATTCTTTCATCTGGTTATTATATTTGTCCCCGTAATTGCTACGGTTCCCGTAATGTGGTTTGGAGCGCGGCAAAAAGATAAAGATGGTGAACGAAGCGGGACATTGTGGTGGTATGGCTTTCTGGTGTCAAGCATGGAAAGAGCTGGCGCAGCTTTCATTAAGTTGGGTCAGTGGGCTGCGAGTCGAACGGATATATTTCCTACACAAATGTGTCGGATCATGAGTGCTTTGCATTCAAACGCTCCCGCGCATAGCCTGCAAGTCACGCAAGAGACGATTGAGAGAGCCTTTGGGAGACGGTTTGAGGATATCTTTGACGAGTTCGACGAGCAGCCGCTCGGCGTTGGGGCCATTGCACAGGTCTACAAAGCGAAGCTCAAACCAGATCTGGTCGGCGAAGGTCAACAGGAGATCGAGGTAGCGCCGAAGAACATTCGGGAACGAGCTCTAAGGACCGTAGATCCGCTATTAAAGAGCACGCCGAATCGTGTCCCGAGCACGTATGTTGCAATCAAAGTATTGCACCCTAAGATCGAGCGGATTGTGAGGAGAGATTTGTGTATCATGGGTGCATTCGCGAATATCATCAACGCCATTCCCACGATGGAATGGTTCTCCTTTCCAGATGAGGTCAAGCAATTCGGCGAGATGATGAGACTGCAACTGGACCTCCGAATCGAAGCCGCCAATTTGACACTCTTCCGCAAGAACTTTCGCACCCGATCAACGGCATGGTTTCCCTACCCATACACCCAGTATACCACTCGCCAAGTCTTGGTAGAAGAATTCGCTACTGGTATACCACTCGAGCACTTCCTCCACAATGGCGGCGGAGTCTTCCAGAAGGAGATCGCTGACGAAGGCCTCGATGCATTCCTCCACATGCTCCTAATTGACAACTTCATCCATGCCGATCTCCATCCAGGAAACGTCATGGTACGCTTCTATCGACCGGCAACGGTTCGCGACCGGACACCCTTTCCTAGCTGGACCGGTAAAGGCAAGCCTGATGTGGAAGGCTCGGAGGACGTCACCGAGCAAGTCATTTCCCGTCTCAAACCGCATCGTGACAACAAAGAATCCTGGCTTGCGACGCTGAAGCAAATCGACAAAGAAAACTATCGACCGCAACTCATCTTTATCGATGCTGGACTGGTGACCGAATTGAATGAGACGAATCGTAAGAACTTCTTGGACCTCTTCAAATCTGTCGCCGAATTTGATGGATACAAGAGTGGCAAGCTGATGGTCGAGAGATGTCGACAACCTGATGCTGTCATCGATGAAGAAGTTTTTGCATTGCGAATGCAGCACTTAGTCCTCGGTGTCAAGAGCCGGACATTTGCGCTCGGCAACATCAAGATCGGTGACATTTTGAATGAGGTCTTGGATATGGTTCGATCACATCACGTCAGGCTCGAAGGTGATTTCGTCAATGTCGTACTATCTATCCTCTTACTGGAAGGTATTGGAAGGACTTTGGATCCGGATCTGGACTTGTTCTCTGGGTGAGCAGGATCTCCTTACGTTCTCACCGCAACTGTCGACTAATTAGTTTCTGCAGGGCACTACCAATCCTTCGCCAACTCGGCGCCCAATCCGGCAAATCTATGCTCACTTCAGGTGACCTGTCGATGGTCAAGGTATGGGCTGGTCTAGAGGCCAGGAAATTCCTGCAGGCGAGCATCGAGAGCGTGGAAAAGTGTGTCAAGTATGATCAGTTGAGTCCGAATATCTAGACGCGAAGCGCGAAGCGAAGCGAAGCATTAATTTTACAGATGCATATTCTTGGAGTTTGATGAAGGGGATGATTATACACGGAGATGATACAGCGGGGCCAGCGAATTCATTCCAATAAGTCGGACCACTCTAGATTCTCAACAGCAGAGACGAACAGGGGACAAAGCATACCCTCCTACTTCAGAAAACCAGTTCATATTCACGGAAACATGATTCTTTTGCCGCTCGCAACAGTGTATCACGGTCGACACATACAGTCACGAGGATGATGTTGGTTCGCGGCCTCGAAATACCGCTGTCGCCACGGATCGGAATAAGAGGTTTTTAGTCCCTCAAAACTCATCAGCCAAGTACCGCAATCACCTGAGCCCTCTTGGCTTCGTCACGCTTGTGCTTGTGCTTATGCGTGATCCGGATGCATCTTCTCTCATCTACAGTATGATGTTGTTGGCCGAAGTGAGATGTCTATTTCCAAGTCTGTTCACGGCATTATAATTATTTATCTTGTGGGATGCAATTTTGAGGCTTGCAAGTCCGAATGGCTGTGGCAAATGCAATGGCCTCCCTCTACGCTTTTCTCGAGAAAAGAGGCTGGCTAGAACTATTCTAGCCAATGTCATCACAGACTGCCATGGAAAGACCGACGCGCCTGCTATGCCCCGATTGTTTCATGCGAGAGAAGCAAAACGCTAGTAGAATTCGAAGACTTCCAGAAGGCCACTAGACTAGACTCACTCCTAGGGCAGAGAGACAAGATACTGTAAGTAAATCCCTCAAGATCCACCATCCACCACGCCAAGCACTCTTCCCATTTCAAAAGAGAAAAAAAAAAAATCTCGCAGCTGAGGTCACAGAGACAAGACAAGCAACAGAAAAGAGTACTGTAGTGCGTATCCTATCCGCATTCTGGAGAAAAGCCGGCCGGCATGACCATGGAATGCATCGTGCGTAGACAGGGGTTCAGAAGTAACAATCCAATTGATTGAGCACTTGACGGTGCTTTCTTAGCCGCCTTTGCTCTCAATCCTCGAGACAGTAGTGCTGAAGTGGATACATCCACACCGTTAGTACCCGAACAGACTTGCATTACCCCGTGGGTATCAAGTAATAGCTGGGCAAGGACCTCCTCAATCCTCATGGAGTAAGTATTCCAACGCACGCGATCAGAAGTTTGTTTTCGTATATTATTACCTACCTACCTACCTCTTGCTTGGTGGTCCAGTTTATTATTCCCGACCCTCACACATTTTCGGTTGTGGTTGTGTTGTAACGTCGCCATTCATGCCACCACCTTACGACGACGCAAAAAAGCTAGGCGAGGAGCTTGCTCCCATACCGACAGCAGACTTCGGAGATGTCCAGGACTATCCGAAAGATGCGAATGTCGTCGATGCAGTGTTCGGAGCGATCAATCATGATGGACCGAACTATAAAAACGTAAGAGGTTGCAGAACGACGAGGACGACGAGGAGGTCGGGTCAAAACTGACCAAGATGCACAGGTTGGTTGGATGGGGACTGTGGTGCTCATGATGAAAACGCAGGTCGGACTCGGTGTGCTCGGGATCCCATCTGCTCTGCACACATTGGGGATGATTCCGGGAGTCGTAATCTTGCTGGTAGTCGGCAGCATGACTACCTGGGCGGGCTGGATGGTTGGACGGTTCAAGCTTCTCCATCCTGACGTGTACGGCATTGACGATGCTGGCAAGTTGATGTATGGTCGAATGGGCAGGGAGATTCTATACTGGGGCTTCAACATCTGTGAGTGGCGTGGAACTTTATTGATAAGCCATTTGCGCCAAGCTGACGTGCATAGATTTTATCTTCTTGTCTGGCTCGGCAATGCTTGGTATCAGTATCGGATTCAACTCTTTGTCGCTTCACGGCGCATGCACTGCCATTTTTGTCGCTGTTGCGGCTATCATTGGGTGGACGTTTGGAAGCATTCAGACTCTTGGGAGAGTGTCTTGGATTGCCTGGGTCGGTGTGGCGGGCATCTTGACAGCTGGTAAGCTTGATCATGATTGATGCTAGTTTCGTGCGCTGATGAGTCTGGAGTCTTCTCTCTCACTATTGCCGTTGGAGTGCAAGATCGTCCTGCTGCAGCGCCTCAGACTGGCGTTTACAAGTCCGACTACCTGCTTTTCAACAGCGAAGCCACTTTCGCAGAAGCCATCTCCGCAGTTTCGACAATCGTTTTTGCCTTCGCGGGTACTCCAGCATTCTTCTCCATCATCTCGGAAATGCGCAACCCTAAGGACTACACCAAGAGTCTCGTCATCGCCCAGTCCGGTGTGGCTTTGATCTACTTGGTCATCGGGATCGTTGTGTACTACTACTGTGGTTCATACGTCGCTTCTCCTGCCCTTGGATCCGCTGGTGTGACCATGAAGAGAGTCTGCTATGGCCTTGCCCTGCCAGGTCTTGTCGCAAGTTGCATGCTTTTCGTCCACTTGCCAGCCAAGAGCATCTTCATGCGCTTTATGAGAGGCACCGAGCACTTGACCAGGAACACCCCAATTCACTGGATGGCATGGTTCGGCTCTACCTCGACAGTCGTCATGTGAGTGCGGTCGAGTACAAAGACCTAAACGCAGTGAGCTAAGTCTTCGCAGCATCGCCTACCTCATCGCAAGTGGTATCCCAGTGTTCGATGGTCTCATCTCACTCATTGGTGCCTCGTTCGCAACAGCAATGTCCTTCCAGCCAATGGGTCTGATGTACCTTTACGACAACAAGCACAGGAGCAAGTTTGAGCGAACCACTGGATGGTGGATTCATATCTCCTGGGCAATCATCGTCATCACTCTCGGCACCTTCATCATGATCGGAGGTACCTATGGCTCCATCGTCGGTATTGTCAACAGCAAGGACCGCACATCTCCGTGGTCATGTGCAGATAACTCAAACTCGTCATAGGAAATTTTGGCATGAACATGGGTGTTCTCGGCATTGGAGGATGGTAGCATTAGGTGGCGTTGCATATTCTCCGGGGCGGTCTTCCAAAAGCATCTGAGTTCGAAGACACAGCTTGTACAGAGGTCACCAGTAGACCTAGAAACCCAATCGCGGTGACACCGTTCAGTCACTTCCTTCCAATCGATACGCTTCACTCTGACCGTGTCGACAGCCTTTTCCGAGACTTTGTTGGTATCATGATCGTCCTCCTCATATGCATTACCAACCGAATTCTTCCTCCGCTGAATTGCCGAGTAGCTCAGTAAGGAATTGCTATGGAACAGCAGGATTTCCGTGATCACTATCCTCGCTCTGTGTTGCATGTTGGTCTCCAGGTCGTGGCCGAAGTGGGAGAGCCGAAGGCTGCACTCTCTTGATACTTCCTGCATACCCAGACAGTGCGTCGTGTCCTCCAGGGAGAAGGACCTTTGAAGCGTCCACGCTATCACCTGATGTGGCCTGTTGATCTTGCCCCTTGCTCTCGATGTTGCTCTTCTTGAATGGGCCAGGTGGGCGGAACGGCGTGTGAGCCATCCCGAAACCCGCGGCTTTGGATGCTGCTGACATTGCTCGACTTGCGGGAGAAGGCCCAAGCGGTTGTTGAATGGCTGAAGCTGGCTCAGAGTTCTCAGAATTCGTAGGAATTGCAGGCGAAGCAAGAAGTAGTTTCTGTCCGAAATCGGCGAACTCTGCATTTCTCTATGGCCAAGTTAGTTTGCTGCTGTGAGGGCAAGCAAATTTACGAGAATGCTCACCCGGGCCGCTTTACAAGCCGTCTTCTCGCGTGCTTCCCCGACTGAATAGCCCAGCGCCACATCATCTGCTTCTTCCTCGGCCTTGGTCCATCTTTCGGCTGCTTGTGCTTGTGCCTCGATCTCGGCAAGCTTGGAATGGACCTTATCTTCTGGCTTTTCATCTCCGTCCAGTTCACCAGTAAGCATCTGTTTCAATTCTGAAATGCTGTCCCAGAGCTCCTGTATAGTCTTGTCGATGTCCGCGTCCTCCCCCTCGAGATGGAAGCGGCGGACGAGGTGGAACAGGACCTGGGCATCCTCGAGGAATCTCCAAGCTTCCTTCCGAGCGGGCACAGCGTTTACCAGAATGAGCAAGGTTCGAATATTATGGTAGCGTGGGATAGCGGGCTCAGCGATGAGGTCTCGAGCGCGAGAAATGCACTCGTTGATTTTGCCTTCGGCATAGAGCTTCTGGATTGCGTTGAATTCGTCGGTAAATGGTTTGGTAATCGCGTCTGTTGGTAGCTTCGCCATGATGGTTCACGAAGCGGCGACCTCTGGCACCTCCCGGAGCGTAGCGAAGGTCAGGTGACCAGGGGGAGCACGCTCGTGGGTTATGCTACGTGTGTCGATTTCTTGGCGCTCTGTGATTGGTCATTTTCAAAAGTTACAGACACCTAAGGCATCTGCACGTGACTTTCCAAGCACTCAGCACGTAACGAAGGTCGCTATAGTCCAGAATAGAGCGACAGCGATGAGAAAGGACTGCGACCTTCGGCACACGCGCTCATAAACCACGAGCGAGCTTCGTGACACATTGGATGCTGCTGGGCGGCAGCGTCCAACAGCACATGTTTGGAATGAGCAATGGTAAGAGGAGGCAGCAGCTGTCGCGCTTGTCTTGTCGCAGGCAGGCTTTGACTCCAATTGATCCAATTGACCCCCTTTTGGCTCAAGTGCGCTTCAAAGCCTTCGGGAGGGCTATGTGATTTTTTGACAACCCCAGAACTCAAAATTCTTATGAAGGTGTGGTTGCTACGAGGCGTCGTGGTTGCTATATGATAAAAGTGGGCCTAGAAGGGTGCGTCAGCCTTGAAGGCGCGAAGAAGCTCCTGTCTGGACTCATATACCCACCGAATCCAACAAGTCATAAGAGTATCGCATGCACCGCGCCACCGAAAGAGTCCGGAATTGTTTTACCCATTTGATGAAAACTCCGACCCACCTCAAAATCAGACAGGTAATGGTAAATATTGGCGATAAAGGACTATTTGAGGCCAACGGCAGCTACCCACGGAGGAAGCGCGAAGATGAAGGCAATACTGAACCTGTTTCGCACAATCGTCAGCATCACCGATGATCTGAGGTGATGTTAGTATTTTCTATAACAGCGACGCCGGAATCGAGGGGGAAGCAGAGGAGGAAGCAGTACTCACATCTTCATAGGAGTCTGCAGTGGGTGATGGCGATGCTGGCGATGACTACTTGGCTTGCTCTATACCGTAGATGCCTAGACCAAGAGCTATTACAGGCACATGTGAGAGGTGGGATTTTCTCGAAATTCATCACCACTCCTCCCCCTCCCCATCCTCCTCCTCCTCCTCTCCCTCACAAACCCCTCCCTCTCCAAAAACCCCACCTGTTCAATCCTCGACTTCTCCACATCAACAAAGAACCACAACCAAACCGCACTAGCGACACTCAAAGCGAAAAGGAAGGAAAAAGGCGAAGAGTCATTCCCTCCAGTGTCGTCGATAATCGCCGAGGAGATGAACGGGCCGATGAAACTTGAAGTTTTGCCGATGATGCTGAAAAGTGAGAAGAAGAGGAATTCTTTGCCGCGCGGGGTGATTTCGGAGATCATCTGTAGAGATGAGGTTAGTGATGGACGGGAAGTTGGGACGTCCATAGTGTTGGGGATGATGCGTGGATAGGGGTGGAGGAGGATGAGTGGATGCGGTGGTGGTGGAAACGGAAACGGAAACCTGCGTGTTGACTTGGCTTGGCTTGCTGCAGCTTTCCGCTCTGGACGGATACCGGACATGACAGCGGGCCAGCGGCGACGTGCAGGCACGAGAAGACACTCTCCACTACTACCCTGCGCGGGATATGCTCGTCGGAGCGGAAACGCGCAGGCGGAGATTGACGGGCAGCCACTTTGACAGCGGCAACCCACATGATTCAATCTCTGACACCACCGCCAAACAGGTGGGGTGGGTCGAACAATCCTCCCTCTTCTCGTTGTCGTCGGAAATGAAGCTGAGTACATACCGTCTGAGAATAACTGTACCAAGGACAGACAAACAAGCCATAGAAAGCCTGATACACCCAAACTTCCCAAGTATTATGAAACCCGAACTGATCCGTCCAGATCCCGATCATTCCCCATCCGTCCAGCAAGATAATCGCCACAGCCACGGCATTAAACATGGTCTTTGTCGGAAAGCTGGTATCGTTTCTGAATATTCCAAAAGGCGAAAATTCCAACGGCTTGCGCCGCGATTCCGACCAGGAGGAGATATGTGAGTTGAAGGGTATTATACGCCACAATCTCATTCAGGAGGGTTGCGATGACGGTGACAGTGGTGTTGAGGGAGTCGCCTAGTAAGAAGTATCCGATCAGATAGAAGAGACTTTGCCGTAGCTGCCAGATTTGCGTGAGTGCGTGCCATAATTGCCAGAATCCTGCGAGGACGATGTTCATACCAGGATCTTGACCTGGACGCCGTTTCTCCCATATGAACCAAGGAATTGCGACTAGCATCCAGACTCCCGAGGCGAAGGATATGAGGACAGAGAGACCCCAGTTGTTGTTGGCCGTCGAGGCGTTGACATGAAGTGCGAACATGATTCCGACGATGATGGCGAGGAGGATGATTTCTGCGACGGATTGGACGTAGAAAGCTACGTTGCTGAGTTCGTTACGCTTCATGCTGTCAGCGTGGTCGTACTGTTCGCGTGTGATTTGGCCATTTTCGTATTCTTGGGCTTTGTTCCGAAGTTCTCGCGTGTTCCTTGCCAGACCTGGGAATGCGGCTGTCCAGTACGTGAGGCAGAGTTGGTAGGCGATTAAACCGACGATGTACAGACCCAAACCGATCTGCCAGTCGTCGGCTGTGTGTACTCCCAACCAACCGAAGCCAATGCCCCAGGCGATCAAGGAAAGAACAATGAGGATGTTTGGACGAAAAGTCCCGAAGTCGGCGTAAGATCCTAGAATGAGGAAGACTACGATTTGTATCGCGAAGCTGATGCCATTGCAGAGAAGGACGACGCTGTTGATCGTCCTGTTTGCGCCAGCGAAGTAGACAATGGTGTTATCCTTGCCTCCAATGGCTTCGGCATGCTGATACACCAAATTCCTGGCTGCTGTCGGTGCAAAGTTGAATAGCGTAAGCCCGTTATTTCCGATATAGTATGCATAATAGGCCCAGATCTCTTTCTTGGTCGTCTCCCACTTCGGGTCGAATTGATCAGGTGCAACAGGCCTGTCCTCTTCGACCAACGACCCATTCGTCTCTTTCTCCATCGCTCCTTTCAGAGGATCCTCGGCCGGCGCAGTGTTCAATCCGAGTCCAGGGTCAACGGCCGCCATGACTGGCTACAGGTGGTTGTGGTATAGCATATATTGCAATTGCTAGCTCTTTACGGTTCCATGCGGTCGTCGGTCGTGCGATCGGTCGCGAGCAATGTCCAGAAAGTAGAGAGGTAGAAGTAGAACCACGCAAGCACCTACCCCAAAGAAACGAATCTTTGCAGCACGTCATGCCAAATAGAGGTCTCGACTGTGTAGTCCAGCGCAGGAGCGGGACGGACAGGAGCGAGAGGCGGCAGATGATGGAGCTGTACAATACCTTAGATCTATGCTTCGTCTAGAATAGTCTAGTGCTGCCGAACATGCGCTCGTCGTGTGTGCGGCACGGCGGAGACATTCTCTCGGAGTCTGCTGACAGAATTCCAGTTGTTGGGAATGAATGATTGGTATTGTTCATTCTCGCAATGCATGATCTACAACCATACAGTACAGCATTTCAAACAATCATGCGGTGACTGATACTGTATGATGACAAAAACTTTCACAACTTCCACTGCATATATAACTTCATTCGCATCGTGTGCCACAACACCCAGAATTCCAGTACCATGCATGGGAGTTTCATCATGGAAACGAAACACGTGCAGGAAAATGAAATGTAACCATATCGTAGTTCAGGCGCTCTGATACGCATTTCGAAGACCAGCATTTTCGCTCGTGTATCCTAGGACACAATCTTTCCTGTTTCACGAAGAAGGAAGGGGTAAGAATTTCTAGATCTCAATACAGTAGTTCTATAGTCCCACCTCTTAAGTTAGTTACGCCGAATTCGTCGCACAAGCCGCACACTCCATCGCCTCCCTCTACGCAGACGCAGAATCCACACGCTCATGCATAGCACTCATAGGAAACTCCTTCGTTTCCAACCCATCCAATCCCACCACACTAGACTGCTGCGCCGGGATACGTTCATGCATAGAATCCGGAACAAAATCTGGCGTGAGCGGTCTCCTCATCCCCATCAAAATCTCCGGGTGCGGAGCTAAAAAGGACTTATTCGTCGGACTTTTTATAGGAGAGTCGAGTTTTTCCAGCACGCTGTCGCGTTTTTTCAAAACCATTTCTTCCGAGGAAAGGGCTTGGCCAAAACCCTGTGATGCGGCGACTTGTTCGATAGACTTGAAGTATTTCACGGTTTTGACTTGCAGTTCGAGGGTGGCGTCTTCGTCGACGACGATCATGGCGTGTGGGTGCAGTTGGAGGGAGGAGAGGGTCCACATGTGGTTTACGCCGCCTTCGATGCATTTTTGGAGGGCGAGGGCTTTGTGCGGGCCGGTGATGATTATGACTACTTCGCGGGCCTGGAAAACAATAGTGACCATGTTAGCTTTTACTTGGGAAGATTTTATGTGCTGCTGGATCGTCGATACTTACGTCTAGAACGGTTTGGATTCCGACTGTCAAGGCCATCTTCGGCACCTCGTTCACGTCGTTGCCGAAGAATCTTGAATTTGCTAGAATGGTGTCGTAGGCGAGGGTCTTGACTCTGGTTCGAGATTTCAGACTTGAGCCAGGCTCGTTGAAAGCGATATGTCCGTCTGGACCAATGCCGCCGAGGAAGAGCTCAATGCCTCCAGAGCGTTTGATCTTTTCTTCATACGCGATGCATTCCTCCTCGAGATCCTCAGCATTTCCATTCAGGATGTTGATGTTGGCTGGGTCGATGTCGACGTGGCTGAAGAAATGCTTGTACATGAAGCTGTGATACGACTCCGGGTGTTCGCGGGGGATGGCTACGTATTCGTCCTGCTAGACGATGAGCTTTCCGAACGTCTCACGTGTGTGGCTGATGACGCACCATGTTGAAGGTAATGACATGCTTGAAGGATATGTCGCCATTCTTGTGCGCCTTGACCAGATTCTTGTAGATGCCTTCAGGGGAAGATCCAGTTGGCAGGCCCAGCACGAATGGCTTTTCAGGCGTAGGTGCAAAGGATTTGATGCGGTCTGGGTGAAAGGAAAGAATGAGTGTCGGAGTTTCTGAAACGAAGTTCGATCAACGATGACATACGAATGATGTAGTCGGAAATGTACTTGGAGGCGGTGGCCTTGTCGTCTCGAATGATGAGTCTCCTTGGTGCAGCTTAGCTCTTGATGCGATGGTGTTTGGGAGCTGCCAGGGCTTACATGATGGCACACTTGCGCGGGCTGCAGATAGGCGCAAGGTGGGACGAGATGGAGCTGCACAGGCGATTGCTGATACTGGTGGTATTTCTGCGATGATAAGGAAAGTGAAGCAAGGAGAAGAATATCTCACCATGCTCGGCGGATATGGCAGTGTGTCGACAGGACCGAAGCTACGAAGATTTGCACGTCACGTCAGAGTGCAGCTTTGCCTCCTGCTCCGGATGAGGCTTGCTGCCAGTGGTGCGCGCTGGGAGTTTGGATAAAGAAGGAGCACCTTTGGGGATGGAGCATGTCACCTCGTGGCTGCTCGTGAGCTCCCGCTGGCCGTGATTCGCAGGGCAGCTCCAGAAGCGCTCATGGTTACGTCGGGACCATGGGCACCCAGGCGTGCCTGACCTCGCGGGCCGAGCAGTGCGATCGTGGCAGGAGTGATGGAGCCACGTTCTGGTGGTGAGGGAGGGAGGGACGCATGTAGTTGGAGACGGTGATGGAACCCTCTCCGCAGTGGTATCGAGAGCCTGGAGGCATCTCGGTCGCGTGGGACGGGCGACGGCGGGAGGAAGTGAAGCTCGGGCAGAGGAGCTGTGGCAGTGGCACCCTTGCACGCACGACAACGCTTGGCCGCGGCTGGGGATTAGTTCGGGATGCAGATAGCAGTGTTGCATGCGGCTAAGCGCGTGCCTAATCGATAAGTTATGCCTCGCCTCGCTCCGTCGGGCAGATGTAACACGGCGTATCAGCGCGACCACCTTGCAGGCCAGGATGTTTCAACTTTCGCCATGGAGGAGTGGTGGAGGTGTGGAGTATGCGGTGCAGAAGCACTGGACAGGTGTCGTGCGACCATACACGACACGCCTCCAACATCATCATCACTGCAGCGCATTATCGTACAGTCGCAGTCGCAGTCGCAGTCGCAATATCGATTGTCGAAATGCGTCGCGTGTCTGTGTTTGCCTCGCCACACCTCGCCCTCCTTCCCGCCTCCCGCCCCGCCTTCCCGCACTTCTTCGCCGGCACACGGCCAGGGTGCGGAGCTAGAAACGGACCCTGAGCCAATGAGCGGCCGCAGCGCACGCGTTGGCATGGTTCAGACAACTCTAAACCCTGCTGCCGCTGCCGTTCTCGATGTGGAGAGGGCGAGAGACAACTCAGGTCCCAGTGTAGTAGTAGTAGTGTGCTGCGGTGCGGTGTACAGTACTTAATCCTGCGCACACCTATCGCCAGCATGCCCAGTGCTGTCGCTGTCGCTGTTGCTGCTGCCGCTGCTGTACTCTGCTCGTCTATGCCGATGACCTGATCTCAGAGCCTGAGCCAGCGGTGAACCTCACCTTAAAGCGTCGAGTAGCCTCCGTCACTTTCGCACCGCACCGCACCGCACCGTCTTCACCTCCGCCCCGCCGCCGAAAACAACTCCCCCCCGGCAATCGACGACAGAAGCACCAACGACCCCATTCACCATCATGTCGAGCGTCGATGAAAAAGCCACTCCTTCGCCGGAGATTGGCATTGACTCCTCACCAAAACACTCCATGGACCGCGAGCACGAGCACCATGAGGCGCCTGAGGGCTGGCAGTATCGTTCGCGCAACATCGGACCTCTCGCCCTCCCATACTATGCCTCACCAAAGGCACAGCTCATTCTGGTAGCATTCGTATGCTTCCTTTGTCCAGGTAAGCAGCCTCCAAGCCTCGCTTGCACCATTGCCCAACCACTAACGCCATCTTCTCTTCTCAGGCATGTTCAACGCCCTCAACGGACTCGGCGGTGGTGGCCAGCTGAACGCAAAGGCGGGCAGCGATTCCAATACCGCCCTCTACTCCACCTTCGCCGTTGTCGGCTTCTTCGCCGGCACCATCGTCAACACCATCGGTATTCGATGGTCGCTAGCCTTCGGTGGCATTGGCTACTCTGTCTACGTGTCCGCCTACCTATGCTACAACCACACCCAGAACCTCGGATATATGACCTTCTCGGGTGCCTTGCTGGGTGTCTGCGCTGGCATCTTGTGGACCGCACAAGGCTCGATCATGATGTCCTATCCATTGGAGGAAGAGAAGGGCCGCTTCATCTCCTGGTTCTGGATGATCTTTAACATGGGCGGCGTCATCGGGAGCTTGGTGAGTGGCACGCACTGCAGAATTCAAGTGGCCAAGCGCTTGCTAACTGAATATTCAAACAGGTGCCACTTGGTCAGAACATCCACTCCGCCAACGACAGCACAGTCTCTGACGGCACCTACATTGGCTTTCTGATTCTCACACTCTTGGGAGGAGCCCTTTCCTGGACTTTGATCGACGCCAAGAAGGTCGTTCGCTACGACGGCTCCCGAGTGATCCTCATCAAGCACCCCTCCTGGAAGTCAGAGCTGATCGGCTTGTACGAGACACTCATGCTCGACCCAATGGTCATCCTGCTGTTCCCCATGTTCTTCGCCTCCAACTGGTTCTACACCTATCAATTCAATGGCGTCAACTTGGCTCAATTCACCACCCGCACTCGCGCTCTCAACAACGTTCTCTACTGGACCATGCAGATCGTGGGTGCCTTCGTTTTCGGCAATGTCCTCGACATGGGCAACTTCCGCCGAACAACCAGAGCCAAGCTTTGCTGGATCTTGCTCTTCGTTCTAACCTTTGCCGTCTGGGGCGGAGGCTATGCCTTCCAGGACCAGTACACGCGCGCCAAAGTTGCGGCTGACGGCTACGAGAAGAAAGACTGGACTAGTAGCGGATACATTGGCCCCATGTTCCTCTACATGTTCTACGGCTTCTACGATGCTGCCTGGCAAACCTCCGTTTACTGGTTCATGGGTGCCATGACGAACAACAGCCGTAGGCTCGCCAATTACGCCGGCTTCTACAAGGGCATTCAGTCTGCCGGCGCTGCCATCATGTGGCGCATCGATGGCCTGGGCATAGCATACATGGCTGAATTCGCATCTTGCTGGGCTCTCCTGGCTGGCAGCTTGGTCATTGCGCTTCCCGTCATGCTTATGCACATCCGCGACAGCGTCCCACTCGAAGAGGATCTCAAATTCTCTGACGAAACGATGGCCGACGTCCAGGGCGCCAAACCCCTCGGCTCGATTTCCCACGATGTCGAAGAGCAAAAGCAAAAGGTATGATGATGAGGTGTCACCAACGCATCATCATCATCGTCGTCGTCGTCTTCATCTTCTCTTCTCATCTCAGTGCTACTGTTACACCGATGCAATCTCCTCAGGCAGGGATCGGGTGCAACGAAGGAAGAAACCTTTTTTAACTCAAATCATGTTGCATTTGGCGCGCGCACGCCTTATACCACTCGTCATCAGATTTGATGAGATTGCGTGTGTGTGTTGTACGAAGGATGATGAGCTTGTGTAGGAGATTGATGAAAAACACACAGACCGCTTTTCGGGTCTTGTGTTTTCTCTTGTCCATCCATTGCGAATTCTTTCGATTTTTCTTTCTCATGCTGCTGTGTTTTGTATAGCGATGTTTGGAGCGAGAGCGTGAATTGAATGAATGAATGAATGACTCGGGATACGAGAAGGAAAGGCGCGATGAATGAGGTTTATACGGTATCATTGGGAAGCGCTTTTTTTCACGGAGATTTACAACGACCCTTCCATCTTTAGGTAAAGATTCCCCCGTCGTGTAATAAAGTCGCCCCTTGTTCAATGCGCAACGCAACCTTTATCCCAAAATGGGGGGGGGGGGGGGGGGGTTCTCAAATCTTGTAACTAATAACACGTCTGGTCTCGGTGTTACGCGAGTATTCATTTCCATGTCTTCTATGATGATGCATAGAATACCACCCTGCTCTGCCTACCCATGCCGAGTTGTTGTGGTTTTCTCAAATCTTGTAACAACATGTCAATGCGTGGTGGGTGGTACAAAATCCGTCACGAGATGAGACGAGGAGAGGGAGATCACATCTCTTCATGTTCATGTCTATGGTCATTTAGACGTAGATGTATATATACCTACGCTACTTTATGCCGAGATGGGTAGTTTTTACAATCTTGTAATATGGTCAGTCAATGCTGTTTGGTTTTGGTGGCGCTTATTAAATGCTGTTTGGTCTTGGTAGCACTCATCAGATGAGACGAGACGAGGGGAGTGATCTTCTACTACGTATTTTCAATGTCCATGTCGATGATAAGATGTATATGCATATGATCACGAGTTTCTACGCCAATTCCAATTCAGCCCCACGTAGGTACGCGTACGAGATGCGAGTCTGATAGGGCACGTTTCTTTTCAGAGACACCTTTTTTTTATCATACTATGCGCAGGGGGAATCAGGCGTCGCTTCATGATTCTGTCACGGTAACATTCTATAGTTTTCTTTTTTTGTGAATGTAGATGGGGGTACGAAATGCATGGTGGTGGTTGGAAGGCTTTGGAGGTTATGTGAAGTATGTAGTATGGCGTCTGTCAAGGTTTCGGCGGTATCACTATATTATACCCTGTGGAGGAAGAGCCTCCGAGCCCTGCGAATGCTGTTTTGTCTAATAGGAGAAGCAGATTATTGCGAGCGAAGCTCGCCTTACATAGCAAGGACTGTACTCTAGTGCAGGAATCGTCGTTCGTGCATCCACGTGACGCCAAGGCAACCCCGGATTTTGGAATCCCCGCAACCTGATTGGCTGAATCCTACAAGGTGGAGACTTTCGGAGCTAGCGCTAGTATCTCCGAACAAGCGCCGACTTCCCGAACAAGCGCCGACTTCCCGAACAACCGCCGACTTCCCGAACAACCGCCGACTTCCCGAACAACCGCTAGTAAAGCCTTTTGCCTTCCTTCTAATACTTCAAATATATAGTAAAATATATAGTAAAATATACAAACAATTAATAAGAAAATTAATAAGAAAATTAACTAAAACATTAATAAAAGAATTTATAAAACAACTTTTAATAAAAGAACCTATAGGAAAATTAATTTTAATTATAGAAAACATACGATTTGAATTTATAAAATTACCGAAAAATATTAAAGGAACGAGAGCGAGAATAAGAGCGAGGAACCCTAAAATTCGCGGCTCCGCTATACTAGATATATATAAAATTTAAAAACTCGCGGGCGCTACCGCTATTACTACGTAAGTAGAAGGAGCAGAAGTACTTACGTACGGGTACTATCCTAGTTAGTAAAACAATTAACAAAACAACAAACAAAACAACCAATAAAACAACTAATAAAACAACTAATAAAACAACTAATAAAACAATTAATAGAACAATTAACAAAACAATTAATAAAACAATTAACAAAACAATTAACAAAACAATTAACAAAACAATTAATAAAACAATGAATAAAACAATAGTAGAACAATTAGTAAGGCAATTAATTAAATAATTAATTAAACAATTAGTAAAGCAATTAGTTAAACAATTAGTTAAACAATTAATAAAATAAATTATATTCTAGTAAATAAATAACTTATAATAAAGTTAAAAAGAAGGTAAATAATAAACTAGAGAAGAAACTAAATAATAAAGCAAATAATAGATTAAATAAAAAACTAGAGAACAAAGTAAATAATAAACTAAATAATAAGCTAATTAATAGACTAAATAATAAGCTAGTACTAAACTAAGTAGTAAGATAGAAAACAAGTAATAAATAAGGATATAAATAAGAGGACTTAGACGTATTAGAAAAAAGAAAACATATAATAAAAATAAATAAGAAAATATAAAATAGGTAAGCAAAACAAGTAAGATACTAAATAGAAAAACTGTAAAACATTAAAGAAAAAAATTAAAAATAGTTTTTTTAATAATATAAAAAGTAGTAATAGATATAAAAAATTAGAGAAAACTAGAATAAAAGTAAGTAATATATATAAAGTTAAAAATAATAAAGTAGTATCTAAAATACTAGAAAAGAAAAATAGTAATACAAAAATATAAAAATACTTATTCCTAATAAACTATTCTAATAGAACTAAATCGTATAATAATAGTAATAGCTTTAAGGTCTAGCTTCGAGGTCTAAAGAACCGAATTAGCTTAGTATATATAAGGCGAAAGCTTCGCTCGCACTCCTCTAGGCACGCGCTAGCCGCCTAGGAGCACATTTTGCCTGTATTACTACTCAAGCGGCGGACGCTACTATTCGGGTCTTAATAACAGCGTAGGTACGGTATTATTGCTAGCGTAAGACGCTTTTAAGAGGATAAAAAGCTTATTCTTGCGGGAATAGTAGTTAATACTATACACCCTCTTTCAAGGTTTCGGGGAACAGGTAACCCTTAGGGTTAATAAGGCCGACTGTCTTAACATAGTTAGCTAAGCCTTAGCAGCTAACCTTAGCTAGTAACTATTATAGTTAGTAAGGCGGCTATTTTATAGCCTGTATTGCAGCCTGTTAGTGCTAAAGACATAAAAGGAGTAGATTGAGGCGTATAGAAGCTATATAGATTGCAGTATAGAAGACTAGTAAGTAGACTGTCGAAGTAGACTATAAACAAGACTCCGAGCGCCTAACTAACGCCTATAGGCTAATAACTAACAACTAACAAATAAGACAATAAAGCCATAACTATCTACTAACGAGTAGTGCCGCCCTTCGCTACAATTATAGCCTAAACCCGCTATAGCATTGTCCTTACTAAGCCTCTAATCACATTAATAGTTATCTGTATCTACGCTTCTTTAACTTTAGCCTATAGCTTAGTATCTGTTCTTAGACAACCACCCTTATAGACGTACGTCTTTATAAGCTTCTATACGTTCTTAATAGGATTGAGGTCTAGACTAGAAGGTAGCTAAGTTATTAGATTGATGCCGTAGCGTTACAGTTCTTAAATAGTTGCCGCTGCAACGTAGCAAGGAGCGTTGTCTTACTAGAATAGTAGCTCTTACTAATAGATTGCTATTGTTGTATCGACTAGATAAGGTACTAGCTCGAAGAATAGACTGTCGAGTGCTTTAGTAACTAGGACCTCATTTATATAGTTGATATAGTCGTTAATATATAGAAGAACGTGCTCTAAATAGCTCGAAGACCGTATAGTACCCTAATCCTTCCTATTCTACCGTAGAAGGGTTAAACGGCCGCAACGACCGGCAATAGCACCCTAGTACCTACTCGTTGCTTAGTTAGCGATTAATCTGCTCCTTCTAAGAGCCTTATTATATACATTTAATAAGGGATTGTCGATAGTAAGGTAGTATAGCAATCTAGGTTGAAGCGCTCGTTAGGCCTACGAGTAACGTAGGTACGTAAGTAGCTACCTCGGTAGATTGCAAACTCGTTACTAAAGGATACGTTAAACTAGTCTTTAATAGACTAAGCAGCGTGCTTAAGAGCCTACTAAAGGCGGCATACTAGCGGTCAGAAGTTAGCTAATTATAGCTATTATAAAGCGATAGGTTAACTCGCCTTTAGTACGCTTACTAAGCTATAGCTTCTGCTTTGCAACGTAGCGACGATAGCTAGTCGCTCTATATAGGCGTCTTATTATCGCTGCTAAGCAGTTAAGGCCTAATCGCTCTATAAGTTGTCCGAAGGTTAGCTTCCTGCCTTCTACGTTACTAGTTAAGAAGTTAACTACTATCTTCTTTAGGTCCTTAGGAAATTGCTGTACGCTATTAAGACTAGATAGTCTATAATAGGCTAGACGAGCACGGTAAGGGGTGAATTCTTCTATAATAATGCGGTAGATAGTAGAAGGTGCGAGGTTAATAAGACGACTAATCTTCCGAATAGGCTAACTATAGACAAGCTTCAGTTGCTTAATAAGGCAACGCTTGCGATAGGGGACGACTAAGTCGTTGTTATTATAGCTAGTAAGGAAGTCTTAGTTGTCTTTAAAGCGCTCAAATAGAGGGTTCTCGGCGTCTTTATCTTTAACAGTTAATATAGAGCTATAGCTATAGAAGAAGGTATTTAAGGACTATAAAGAAGAAGAAGAAGACTTAGCTTATAGCAACGTAGGTAGCAATTAGAAGCTTATTCTACGCCTCGAAGGTCTATAAGGAGACCGCTTATCCTTAATAAAGGGGTCGCCTTTATCGCTTGAACTAGGCTCGCTATAATCGTCTAAATAGGACTTTAGCGACATCCTATAAGGTGCTAGTAGTAGTGTAACACCTATACAAGCTTCTAAAGCCTCTGCCTCTAACGA